GTCGCGCGTCTACAACGACACGATCTATGGCGGACGCCTTAACCAATCGCGTTCGTTTCGCACTATGAGGTTGTCATCATGGTTATTCAATCTAGACGTTGGTAATGGACTGCGCGAAATGCTTGATCTTTTCGCGCCAAGCAGCAGCCATGGGCACACATCGATCCACATCGCTCCGCGTTTCTCGCATCTTTTATCTGTCGAAAGTGCGTCTCGCGCGTTAATAAGTCTCGAGAGTGTCGAGAATAGCGATGTGCGATCACCGGGGCGTATCGTGAAGATGTCATTTGTAAGTAATCTTCTCGTTCCTCCTCGCGGTACATGCGACCGGTGCTTGTCGCGACGTGTCGCGCCGACATCCTTTACATTTGCTAAAAACATCGACTCGCTCAAGTAGCAATAGAATCGGGCGACCGTCGGATTTACTGAACGGGAATTAGAAATGCGATGACAATCAGAAAGAAAGAGAGAGAGATGCGGAATATTCGGGCGGCTGCGTCAGCTTGTTAGGAAAAGAGATATGGAGAGAGAAGTATCTCATAAAGCGCGTTCTTTTCGGCCGCGGCGCCGTTCATATATTGGCGTATATTTTCAGCGCGATTCAATAATCGCGCGACCATCTTGATTCTATTCTCGATCTTTCCGTATCGAACAACCGCTGTAGACACATCGATCGACATCGCTCCGCATTTACGCGTCTTTAACCCGTCGAAAGTAAGTCTCGCGTGGAAATAAGTATCAGGAGTGTCGAGAATAGCGATGTTCGATCGTCGGGGCGTATCGTGAAGACGTCATTTATAAGTAATCTTCTCGTTTCTCCTCGCGGTATATGTAAAGTGATCAGATTTCCCAGCTCTGAATTCGGGACACTTCATAAATATGTGAAGCGGGGGGAGGAGGTTATAAAGATTCGAAAATGATTTGACAATCATTGAAAATGATGACAAATCGGTGTCTCGAATAGCACTCGAAAAAATTCGGGACAAAGGGTGAAAAATCAGGACGTCTGGTCACCTTATTATATTGTGATATTTAATAGAACAGTTGAGCCTAACTATAAACCACTAATCTAACATAACCCGATACTCTCGTACCTAATATCTGCATGCCAAATGTCGTTGTATTTTCGACTCGTCGATGCAAAGTAAGCTCCCTGTGACTAATTAGGCAAACTATCTTTTGTTCCAGATTCAGTGGAGCTTGCAACGGGAATGTGAAGGAAACTGCAATTCCGGAGGATGTATAGAGACGTGGGTGTGAATGCCGTTGAGAATCCGGTTCGAGCAGAGCATAGTCGACTTGAAGGTTAGTTCACGGATTACTTGCACTCCTCCGTTTGATCTTTTACGATCGAGAGTCGAGATACAGTCGTCAAAATAATTGGAATTACGATCGCGATGAGTTATCTCGCTCCTATTTACGCTTGTTCGCTAAATAGAATTTGTAAGTCTAATCAGGAAAATTGTATTTTTTCTAGATCTAGCGGAGCTTGCGACTGGAGCGTGAGGGCAGCTGTAATTCCGGAGGATGTGGATGTGGGTGCGAATGCCGTACCGGAGGATCCGGTTCGGGCAGTGCAGAGTCGACTCGAAGGTAAGTTCATGGATTATTCGTACTCTTCTCCGGTTGATCGTTCGCGATCAAAAGTCGAGATACAGTCGTCAAAATAATTTGAATTACGTTCGCGCAAAGAGTTATCTCACTCCTATTTACATTTGTTCGTTAAATAGAATCTGTAAGTCTAATCAAGAAAATTATATTGTTTTGTTTCAGACCTTGAGAGCGGAGTGTGGTCGACTCTGCGTTTGGTGAGTACGAGAAATGGGAAAATATTTATGGTGGTGGTGAGTCTATCTCTGAAATTTCGACAAAATCAATGCGATTTATTTTGCTTGTAGATTTGCATGTTAGATTTTGCATATTCTTAAATGCTATTGAGCGAAGTAAAGTAGTATGACGTGTTGAGAGAAAGAAACAAAAGAATTCGTGATACATGTGATATTAAGTCATTTATTATAATGTAGTTAATTAAGTCAAAATTACAAATATTCTACAAATTTATTATTATTCCAAAGCTATTGTTAGCAACTACTTAACATAAATTTTAATTTTTTTATCTGATTTTTTATCATGATTTAATTTATTCCAAAACTCAGCTATTAATACTTTATCTTTAACATCTTAATTTGAAATTTAGTCTTTCTTTCCTGATATTTTACATACTTTTAATAAAAATTTAGAATGAAATTAAAATTTATTATTATATAAAGACTATTTTCGTATAAGAAATATTCTGTTATGCAGATGAAGATTTGGAATCTCATGTTATATTAATAAAGCCTTGTATTTTTAAAATACTCGACTCATTATTAGTTTGATTTGAATTTTATTCTTTCTTTTTTGACATTTTAGATATTTTTAATCTAAATTTAGAATTAAAGTTGAATTTATTATCGTAGAAGTTATTTCTATACAAAAAATACTCAGTTATACAGATGAAGATTTAGAATTTCAAGCTATATTAGTGAAGCGCTTTGTATCTTTAAAATATACGACTCATTATTATTTGTTCATACCACTATACTTTGTTCAACAAATCAATTTTCTATTACAATTGTACGAATGACGTCGAATAAAATTCGACTGTCGCACTTCGCAAAATAGAAATGCGAAGTAATCAAGCGTTAGAATTGCACACAATGCGCGAAAATCGCGATAATATTTCTTGTGCTGTAAATTTCGCGATCGCGCCGCGATTGTTGTTTCTGCTGTTCTTATCAATAAAGACATAAATGTTTTTCGCGATAGTTTTTGTCAGCAGATAGAAATCTTACGGTAGTCGATTATCCGAGTCGAAATTTGAAATTTATTTAAATTTCGCAAGTTCTGCAAATCTTATTTTAAATTGGTCAATGCTCTTTCACTTGTGTTTAGTCTTCTTGTTGTCATATATTGTCTTGTATATATAATGTTGTTATTTTTTATACAAAACCCAAATTTAAATCTTTATTAATGCTTCCATATACTTATACTATCTTTGTTTTTATAACTCCTTATTTCTTAATGTTACTTTTCCAAATTAAGGCTAAGGAACTTACACAATTGATATACATGCATTATTATGTATTGCAAAATAAATATTAAATGCAGGTAGACTATTGAGATAATGGAATATTAAATAGTTTCGAAGCATCAAAAGAAGAGATATCTGTATAATATTACATCTCCATATTCTCTACGTGTACTCCAAATTCAGCGGAACTTGCAGAATTAATATAGAAGAAAAGTGTCGACTCGACTATTTCACTCACGTATATATTGGTATATTTCGCTTCGACTTTTCGTGCCGCGACTTTTCGTTACCGGGACTTATCATTATTGTGAGACAGACATTCGTTGAACCGATCTCGATATTATCTTTCGTTAACCAAAGTAATAGAGTCCGTTAATTCCGTTAAATCATTGAATTGCATCAAAATAATAGATTGCGAGATAAATAAAAATTCTCGTCGATATCGTCGTCGACTCGGTGAACGTCGTTAAAACGTGAATATAAATCGCGTCGCGAGTGAAATAAATCAACGTGGGACGACGCGGACTGAGGCTGCATGCTGCGATGTTCCGTCAATGGACCAGGGTGGACCTGATGGGACGTCAATGGACCTCGCTGGTCGTTTCATCTACGAGATGGTGAGTGTTGAAATTCAACACTCACAGAGTGTCATATAATATTACATAACTAGTAATACTACATAATGCATGCCTAAATCGCATTGATATAACCCTTTGCGGTCTGAGTTGCTTTAAACTTTTGTTTTTTCAACCAATTCATGAAAATTCATTTACTTTGTGACATTATCGCGTCTTTTACGTTTATTTAAATATTTAAAAATTTAATTGATACAATAATGCACTCATATATTTATACTAAATACATCATCAATGAATAAAAGATTATAGAATCGATATAGGACCGCAAAGGATTAACGGGAAACGCGATATATTTTCATATATTATGCTTTTTGACAATTGAGTTGCGAAATGTCTCATTGATATATAATGTGCAATAATTTTATGACATTTTATATATTTATTGCGTATCCTCATATGATATTGATATTCTCATATAATTGAGCATTTGTGCATTTTCATATAACTGACATCTCTATGAATTATCATATAACCGACACTCTATGAATTCTCATACAATTGAGTATCTATGTACTTTGCTTTGCGCGATACAAAATATACCGCGTCATAGGAGCCGCGGGTCTGATGTCGTAAATGATAGCGCTGAGTGTACGATGTCGCAAGTAACGAAGTTTAACGTACGATCCTCGAGTGATCGTGTAACCGGTAATTAAATACGTTACGCTTGAAACAGAAATCTCCCGAGCGATTTGCCGCGGATTTGCATGGTAATCGTTGGAGCGGCCGGAAAATAAGGCCGGTGTCCATTCTAAACGTATTACGTCAGGTAAAATAAATCCCTGTTACACGTGTACGACGCCTTGGGCGATTAGCGCCGGCGTAATTACGCAGAGGTACCTCATGTCGTGGGGGAGAGTTAACCTAATAAAGCAGTTAAGTGACTATCCGCCGGAGTGGCGGACGCCGGAGACGAAGCCGAGGCTGAGTGATTCGTCGTAACGGCGTACTTCGCGTTCGTACTTCTCACGCCGGCGTGAGTATCGTTTGCCCACACGTGACAGCGATCGTTATTGCGAGTGCTAACGAGCACGCGAAGCTTTTGTTCGAATGATGAATGATCCGTTATCTCCCCCTTTTTCATTTTTTCTCTTGTTCTTTTCGATGCGCCGGATTGAACTTGCGTAATGCGCGCACGCAACGCGTGCATTCGCGAGTTCGCTACGCCACGCGTCTCCAACTTAACATCGAAGTCAACGTTATTCGCGGTTTAAGGAACTTTGCTACGGAACTACTAAATCTCGAATAGTCCCGCAGGCATCGAGCTAAGCTCTCCCGAAACTATGGCGCTATCGCGGCGGCAGTTACAGCGGCTGCAAAATCGCCGACGAGATAGCTCGAGAAACGGTTTAACTGCACGCGGACGCGCGCGCACATGCACACATACGTATGCGTGCGGCGCACGGATCGGTATATTTGAGTTTGTCGCAGCGCGTTACACGCAAGGTTATCTCTCCGTATCTTGGTGGGTACCCCGCGTTGTGAACTGGCGACGCGCCAGAATCGGAAAGAATTCCCCTCTCCTATTAAAAACCGGGAATGTCCTCTTACGTCTTTCTCCCATCCCGTTCTCGTCTTCAAAGGAACGTTATGGTCGTTTCCGCGCTGATACATCCGGGACAGGAAAATAGAGAGACAGCATACTATGTTAGCTAGCGTGTACAATCAGGTCGCGGACGCGTGTACAGGATTGTGTCGATCAATATAAAAATATTGCGTACGACTCCGATCGGGGATTGATTTTTGCGATAAATTTTTAGAATTTAAATTTGCAACTTTTGTTAATTACCGAATGTTCGGTTAGGTAAACTATTTCCCCTGTCTTGCTCATAGCAAGATGGTTTTCTCCTAGGTTCTCGTAGTAAATGCAATCTTAAAATAAGTGCACTTTTCTCGATTGTACCGATCGGGTGCCCCTCTCTCTGATCGGTTTTTCCAGATATATAGAATTTAAATTCGCAGTTTTTGTATGCATTAATTAAAGAATTAGGTAGATTAGGTCCGATTAGGTAGATTATTTCACGTCTGTGAAGTTGGCCTCACTTTTTCAAAATTTGAAAAAAGTGAGTAGAGTTTTGGTTGCCCCCCGAAGAGTTCTAGAGTGCTCTATCGATAAAAAAAAATAGTTTCGTCGATTAAAGCGGTTAAAACACGAAATGAAACAGGGGACCAACTTCACGATAGTGTAACTTTAAAGTCCTATAACTTTTTTATCTTCAATCTTAGTGCAAAATTTCTTAAAGATAATCGATAGAACTCTTCGGGGGACTACTAGAACTCTCAACAGAACTCGAAGATTCCGAAAAAAATTTTCATCCTTAAGGAACTTAGAAAAATTTCATACATCGAAACTTTGAACCGCCGTAATTTCTTCGTTTTCGATCACAGTAAGAAGATTCATTAACATAATTGATAGAACTTTTCGGGGGGCTATCAGAACTCTCAACAGAACTCCAAAATTAAAAAAAAAAATGTTTACCGCTAAGGGATTTAGAAACTTTGGGCTGCTGTAACTTTTTTATTTTTTATCGCAGTTCGAAGATTAATAAGGGTAATCGATAGAACTTTTTTGAGGGCTACCAGAACTCTCAACAGAACTCCAAGATTCCGAAAAAAATTTTTATCTCTCGGGGTCTTTGAAAATTTGGACCAATGTAACTTTTCTGTCTTATCGGCAGCCCCTTAGAAAATTACGATCGAATAATTTGAATATAAGTTTTCTTTTGCGTTTTTATATATTTTTTGTTTTTTTATTTTTTTCGGATTTTAATTAAATATTTAATAATTAATAATTTATAAATTTTTCTAAGTCCCGTAGGGGTGAAAAATTTTTTTCGGAATCTTCGAGTTCTGTTGAGAGTTCTGATAGCCCTCCGAAGACTTCTATCGATTATCTTTAAGAAATTTTGCGCTAAGATTGAAGATAAAAAAATTATAGGACTTTAAAGTTACACCATCGTGAAGTTGGCCCCCCTGTAGTTTTATTTCGTGTTTTAACCGCTTTAATCGACGGAACTTTTTTTTTTATCGATAGAGCACTCTAGAACTCTTCGCGAGGCAAAACTCTACTCACTTTTTTCAAATTTTGAAAAAGTGGGGCCAAATTCACAGACGTGATTATTTCCTCCGATTTGTT